TGAATATCCTGTGAATATGTAAAAAATTCATTGACCATGAAAATTTTTCTTGAATTTTCATGGCCTCTCCATGGTTTTTTCATGGCACATGAAAGTTAATTGCCAGTTAGTTTTCATGGGGTTGTTGGGAATATGCAAGCACCAGGAAAATTCTTTGGAAACCCTATGAATTTGGAATTAAAAAGTCTTCACTTTCCTTGTACCAAAGACTGTACTCAGTGTATAGTTTGCAGTATACCATAACTGTAATACATACGCTATCACTTAAATTATACACTGAAGATATAACCTCTCTGTGAAACTTCTTGGTCCTGTTGTACAGGCACACACACATGAAAGACATGACCAGAAGTCTGGATTCTCTGATAATTTATTTTGTTTCACCAGTTGTACATAAATATTATTTTAGGCTTCCAAAATTGTGATAATTCAGTTTACACTTTCTTAAATCAAAAAAATTGGTATGAAATTTTCTGCAATAAAATTAAGATGTTAATGATTTTTAGCTCTATTTTGATATCACTGATTTTCCTTGTGGAGACAGATTTTGCTCCTATATTTCTTCATATCTGTTTACTCTGATTTAAATAATTGTGGCTGTACATTAAAAATATTTCTGTATATTTAAACTATTTTGAAGGCATATTATAAATAAATTTGATGTGAAAACTTAGCTGGCTGCACATTGAATGTGCAGCCAGCTAATTTGCATAAGTAATTCGAGCCAAGGTTCGACGCCTCTTGGTGGCATGAGGTGTTCGCTAAACATTCCAGGACATCCGATAATCGCTTCAATAAATGTAATTATGTTCCCCTCGAATGAAATGGAAAAAACCGCAACTTCCGATGATTACATTTCTAATCTTTTTCAAGATACAACTCTACCTTGTTCACTCATTTTCCAGAAACAAGATTCCAGAGAATTGTCTGATACAAACTTAACGGGTCTAATTCGAAAAAACTTAAGGGGCGGTACGCTAAGCTTATTTTCTCTGTAGAGATAATACATGTCTTAAAGAAGACAACAGTAAATTGTTAACACAACGTCCACAAGTATTCCTGATCAAATGTTACAGAAACATATAACAGGAACAATTAAAAACACGTAAAGCGAAGAAACTAAAAATAGCCTAAAAAGCGGCACCGGTAAAGCTGATTTCACCTCCATGATCAAAGACCTAGGCCTATTAAAGGCTAATTCCGACACACCCTTCTTTCTACAGGTCATGGTTTTTAACTTTTAAAGTCCAGAAACTGTGTTGATTAGATAATTCGGAGAATACACATCGCTTTCAACTGATGGTCTCCCCGTTCGGTCCACAAGCTTCAGCGCAATGCAATTATTCTTATAATGACCTTTTATGTGCG